ATTATATTACATATATCCCAAAATTTCCCTGCAAAAGAGTTTCACTCTGCTGTTGAATGACGGTTTTTACTTGTTCGGGGTCTGATTGTGTAAGCAGTGTCTACTGTATAAGTACAAATTTTCGTTCACGAAATCTTTCGTTATATCACTCCACCAGCAGGCTTGTTACGTACTAAATTTCGTTTCTGAGGTCTGTCACCCCTAACGTTTAGAAATAACTTAAGTTAGCCCCTGCACCCGTCAACATGCAAGCACCTCCAAGTGCACCCGCATGCCCAGCTTGGGCACTCGTGCACTCATGCAGACAGACACAAGCGCACACATGCACGCACACGCCACTGGTGTACCCATGCTCTGACACGCAAACACCCGCACAACGTACCGCTCACAATGGCATGCACAAACATACAATAGACACATTGGGTTGGGGGTTGCCATGATTTCTTTTGGACAATTCAAATATTCAAGAATATGCTCTTTGATAATAATTGATTGAGTAAAGATGCATGACTGAAACTAGCATCTGCCCGCCAAGGGCGCACAAATGGCCACCGCGGCCCGCCGCCAGCTAAACTAGAATACTGCCCACCGAGGGCACCCGAATGGCTAAACTAGCCTACTGCCCACCGAGGGCGCGCAAATGGTCGCCGAGGCCAGCAAACCGCCCGCCGAGGGCTAAACTAGCATACTGCCCACCGAGGGCGCACACATGGCCGCCGAGGCCAGCAAACCGCCCGCCGAGGGGTAAACTAGTAAACTGCCCACCGAGGGCGCTCAAATGGCCGCCGCGGCCAGCAAACCGCCCGTCGAGAGCTAAACCAGCAGACCACCCATCGAGGGTACGCAAATTGCCACCGAGGCAAGCAAACTGCCCACCGTGGGCCGATATCATCTTGCCCGCCGAGAGCACGCAAACGGCCACCGAGGCCAGCCAATCGCCCACCGAGGGCTCACACGACTGCCTGGCATCGGGCGTCACAACATACAGACATAATAGGAGGCCCGTTTGCCCCAAAAAGATAGTAGTCCTAGAAACCATGGCATCCCGTTCCCCGCAACCCGCAACGAGCTAGCTTTGTGACCACGGCTGCAGGTGCAGCGAATTCCTCACAATAATACCGCGCCCGTGCAGGCATACACACCCTAGTTATCATGGCGAGCGCTGCTCAATAACTTACAAGCTAGGCATCCCGGCTGCATGCCACACGTAACGTTCGCATGCAGAGCTTCTCCAGCGGCCCGCCCGCTTTACTTGCCATTCACTTGCCCCACGGAGCCATGAGTGAAGCGCCACCGATACGCATGGAGTGAGAGCTGACCTCGTTCGTCCTCAGGGCTTGCCGCAGAATCTTGGTCATTTCCTCCCTGGTCAGAAACCGGCCAGACGCAAACACAAACACTGGCTCCGTCGCCTCTCTCTGACCCGCAAGGACCAGATAGGCGGTCAGGGCACGCACAGGGCAGAAGTCGTCGCGCGTCTCGCGCGGCTGTACTTGGCCGCAGTCACCCAGCTGGGCTGTCTTCGTCAACCGCAAGCGGACGATTGCCGATGACGCCTGGACGCTGATCTGCTGCCAGGTTAGCGTGCGCGTTCTATCGACTCTTGTTGCATGCGGTGCCAGGAACTCACTCGCCCGCAGGAGGCCGTGGAACGCTGTCAAGACACTGGCCCAGATCATTGCGCGGTCCGACTCGCTGTAGTTGGACCGGAGTAGGAAATGCTGTAAGTCGACCAGATCTTGCCCAGTGAGACCTCTCCGCGTCGTGGTTGCGGACCCTGCCTCCTCTCAAGGCCCTTGAGAACTGCAGAAAGACGGACGGACTGCATACAAGTCACAGGAACACGCTTGCACAGCAAATGATACCGTACCGCTGACAAATACACACGCACAGTCGCCACACACCTCGTACGGGACAGCTCGGTAGCAAATAATACGATATCCTCCTTAGAGGGTGCAAGGGGATTGACATATGTTTAACGCAATAATCATTGAAGGTTTCAATGCCAGTGGAGAACGTTCTCGCTGAGCGTTCCGACACTGAACCTGGTACAAGGGCATCAGCCTCGAGGCCTAGAGCAACACGGTCAGGCAGGGGCATGGCACTGGCGAAGCAGCCGCCGTTGGTGCCAGTTGACGGAAGCGGGTCAGCTGCAAGCGAGAAAGAGCATCAGCAATGCCGTTATTAGTGCCAGCAATATGGCAGATATACAATATGAAATTGTGCCTAGCGGCAACAGCTAACATAAAGCGGATCAACACCATGGCCTGCTTGTTCTTACATGAACCATTCTTCCAAGCTCTAACTACCGCCTCGTTATCGCAATGAAACAGCAGCTTCTTCCCTGCCCAGCACGGACCCCAAATGCAGCAAGCTAGGGCAATGGGAACCATTTCTCTAACCATAATAACGCTTAGCTGAGGAGATTCAAACTCCTCCGGCCACTTCCCAAAAACCAGTCGCCCTGGAAGTAGCCCCGTAGCCCTCGCCAGAGGCATCTGTGAACAACTGGAGGTCAGGAGAACGGGACCAGGCCTGGTCGAGGAAGAAGGACTTCCCATTCCAGTCGGCCGCAAAGCGATGCCACCAGGCGATGTCGAGGCGCGCTTCCTCGTCGATCGGGATCTGGGCAGACATGGAGGAAGCCGTTGTGCTGAGGTCAATGAGGCGCCGAATGAACGTGCGGCCCGGGGGACCACCTTGGCGGCGAAGGACAGCGTGCCTATGAGGGACAGGAGCTCACGCTTGAGGCAGTCGGTGCGCTGGAGCCAAGTTGCCAGAGCTGTGTGGAGGGCGAACAACTTGTCCTGAGGAAGCCGAGTCGCCTGCTCCACACTGTCAACTTCGATCCCCAGCACAGTCATCACAGTCGTTGGAGGGACGACCTTGTCCTGGTCGGTAGCCACTGGAACGCCCAAGTTCTCAAACACGGTTAGCAGCGTCGCTTGTGGAATGGCTGCGGTAGATGACGATGGAGAGGGGCTAGGCGGGGCGACGCCGATATAGTCGTCCAGATAATGCTCGAGGTCGGCCAGGGAATAGTTGTGCTGGAGTATCCAACATAGCGCATCTGCCAGCAGGTTGAAGAGAGCCGGGGAAGACCGCAGCCTGAATGGCAGGACCTTGTCGAAATAATACTGCCCGTCCCACACCATGCCTAGGAGGGGCCAATCGTGTGGGTGGACGGGGATGTTGCGGAACGCGTGGCGGATATCCACCTTGTACATTAGCGCGCCCTTCCCGTGACGGATCACGTGCCCCACGGCGACGTCGACAGTAATGTACTCGAGGCTGTACAGGTCTTCGGGAATGCAATCGTTGGTACTAGCGCCGGCCGGCGCGGATAGATGCACTATCAGGCGGTGGCCACCTGACTTCTTCGGAATGACACCGATGCCAGCCGAACGGAAGTTGGCGAACGGCGGTTGCCGAAACGGACCGGCCGTGTGACCAAGCTGAACCTCTTTAGTGAGGTAAGCTGAAACAATCTCAGGGGAAACAAATGCCGAAGCAAGATTCTCACAAAGCAAAGAATGACGGGGACCGTCATAGCCAACTCTAAAACCATAGCGCAAACCATCTAACAAATGGGCAACAAATGCAGGATCAGGGTGTGCGAGCAATTCAATTTCCAATGCCTGCAGAACAATTGGAGTGTGAGGGGTGTGCGTGGGTAAGGCAGGGTGTGTATGTGCGTGCGAATCAGACACGGATGCATTAAAAACAACAGGAGTGTGAGGTGTGTGCGTGGATAAAGCAGGATACGGACTAGCCGGGGTCTCACTGGCCGGCGAGAGCCCCGCACCGGGTGGCGACGTGGTCGGGAGCTCCGCAGGAGCTGCAGACGTGGCGATACCTACAGTTCCGAAAATTACACCGGCCCTTGTGCAGCTCGCACGCTGGCTGGGTCGTGCCGGGCTTGCACTGGTCCCGGGAGGTGCAGGTGTTGGCGCCGCGGTGTGTCCGAGACGCTTGCAGAGCGGGCAGAGAACGAGCGCCTGGCCTGTGAAACAGCGGGTGTACAGGTCCTGATCCACCACATCCCACTGCATGCCAGGGCTGTGGGCGAGTTTCCGACGGAACTCCTCGTCATATTGGCACACCGCCGCCCACCTATATCGTTTCGCCGCTTGAATGATACGAAGCTGATACGTGATCAGCGACACCGCCCTTGCGGGTTGGGTGTCGCAGATCAGTGCGCAATACACCGACCATGCCTCCAGCCAAACGGACGGGCTCTCCAGCTTGCGGCGGGATGGCAGGGACGGGGAGAGCACTAGCTGGCCGCTATCCTCTGACACCCGGACTCGCTTTGCGGCTGGCTCGTCCGCGAGGGGGGTGAGGAACAACGCAAGCTCCACATATTCCCCGCGCAGCACCTTGTCGTACGTACTACGGGGCACGTGGTCAGTCACCCCATTACGGGACCCGGCATTGACAGCACTAGGGTTACACACAAAATCATTGTACGGAAGACTGCTAGAGATATTCACACTTGGAGTAGGCACACGAGAGCTATGGATAGTCACACTACTAGGGGGAGACAGCCCGTCGACGACAGTCGACGCAGCCACAGGGGTAGGGGAGCTAGCACTAGTAGGCACACGTGTGGAACTACTACTACACACACCCGTACCTGTAGGAAACGACTCCTCCACCTGCACCCGAGGATCGGCAGTGTTGGCAGGGGCAGCCAGGCGGGACGGGCGGCGTGTCGACTCCGTCTGACCCAAGGCTGCAGGGGTGACGGCTCTAACAGCCGCCTGGAACGATGTGGCGATCAAGGCCTGGAGGGTTGCCATTTGGCCAGGAGAACACCCAGGTGCCGGAGTGGGCGTTGCCGGGGGAGCAGGGGGTGCTGCAGCAGCAGGAGGAGCTCGAGCAGCCATGCTGCGGGTGGGGGGGAGCAGGGGGTGCTGCAACAGCAAGAGGAGCTCGCGCAGCCATGCTGCGGGTCACGACACGTCGGGTGCTCATCTCAGCAAGTAACGGAGAAGAGGGGAAACCTCGGAAGGAAGAAAAAACTTTGACTTGCAAAAAACTTTGACTTGACACAGAAACTGCAACTGCAAAGAACGCTCCTTCGCACAAAGACAGCTCAGCAAAACACGTCTCCAAATAATTAGACGCCGGATCCACGATTGTCCATAAAATTTTGCCAGGCCACACGCGGCGCACGCGGCTTAATCACGAGGTGGTCACGTGACACGCACTCGCAGCACTCCACCACCACTAGCATGCGTGTGCATATGGGCTAACTAGGCTTTGCTGCGCAAAGCCCACATTTTGGTACAAACTTTAGTTATTTCGTGCCCCCTAACGAATATAGCGAAAGTTAATTCCAAACAAAAATTTGTACTTATACAGTATCTGTTTCTTCTGTTGTTTTTGTTGCAAACAGATGGAGTCACTCCAGAACACCTTTTTGAACTGGAAAGAGCAAAAAGAGATGCTGCAAGGCGTGGTGACACAACAAGCGTCCGCTTCTTGCACATTGCAATTCTTGGAGCTGCACGTTGTGGAAAGACAAGCTTGCTGAAGACCATACTGGGTGAAGAGCATGACTCCGGTGAGAAGAGCACGCTTGGAATGAAAACTTCATTCGCCGTCACAACAATTGAAAATGGCCAATTCATAGTATGCAGTGATGTTATTGAAGCGCTGCGGCAGCTGTACGTAACAACGATACTGAAGGACGAACAAAGCGACTCTAAAAGACTGCAAGAAACAGATCACTCCACTCCTCCACACGGTGATGCCGCAAGGTCACAAGAAGTTACGTTTGGCGGAGCTGCACCAATTCTTCCTGGAAATCCTTCACGGCAAATCCTCATCAGTGAGCCTTCAGTAGGAGGAGAAGACTTCGTGCAACGTGCAATAGAAGCCATCCGTTCTTCAGACATGGTGAAGTACATCAAGGAAGCTGCTGCCAAACCTGACTTCACCGTGATCACATTTCAAGACCTCGCTGGTCAGCAGATCTACCAGTCTGTACAGCCACTGCTCATAATGAAGAACACCGCATTCATAGTGGCGTACAATGCATCAAAGAATTTGGAGGCGGAGATCGATGAGAAAGAGCTTGAAGAAATGCAGATGGCTCAATCACCAATCCTGCGTGCGACTTTGCCAAGTGATGCTACCCACATTGATCAAGTATTCTCATGGCTCGACATGCCACTCTTCCATAGCAAATCTGATCACACAGACGAGACATCAGGAGATGTGTTCATGGTCGGTTGTCATGGAGATGTCTATGACGAAGAGAAGGTCAAGGAAACCCTGCCAGATCCGAAAGTGTTGCTTCACAATAGGATCAAGGAATCGCGGTACAAGCGACTGGTATCTAATCAAAAGTCACACTTCCTAGTCAACAACACCAAGTCCAAGTCAGGTGACGATGATGGTGCCAAGGCCCTGAAGAAGGCCATTGCTGATCGCTGTGAAGACAGCAGGCTCAACATTCCTGTGACATGGCTGCGCTTTTGCATGGCCATTGAGCTGTTGAAGACAACCATCCAGCTACCATGGCTGGACTTAAAAAGTGTTCAAGGCATTGCTGAAGACCTGGATGCCATCGGGAGACACGATGATGAAGGGATGAAGGAACTGCTGAAGTATGGCCACGAGTCCGGTCATTTGGCATACTTCCCCACTCGTGAACTCAAACACCTCGTTATTCTGGACAAGCAATTTGTCCTGGATTGTGTGACTGCCCTGGCATACGTCGACTTGGAGGACAGCTGCGATGCCATGTCGCCGTCTGAGTACGATGAAGAACGCTATGGCAAGGGCTTCATATCTGAAGCTTTGGCCAGGTTTGCCTTCAACCAATTTGCCAAAAAAGCAGAGAAGACAGCACATTGGAAACTGCTTCAGGACCATCAAGATGAATGGGACAGTGCATTCCATATTCTCCAAGAGCTGTCAGTCCTAGTTATCACTCAGCGCACTGTTGGCAATGGACAACAGAAGCAAGAGTTCATTATGCCAGCAGTAGTACCGAACGAAGCACTAGAAGAAGCCAGATCTGCTGATCTGTCACCGCCAGCATACATATGTCTTGAGATGACAGGGGAAGAAGGACACCAAATCCCGTTTCCTGTCTTTCTTTACTGGCAGTGTGTGGTTGAGATGCTCAAGGAGTCGCCGAACCGCACCGATTGTAGTGTATCTTTCAATGGAGTGCGGCTTTACTGGGTCAAGGATGGTTGGCAGTGGTTACGGCTTAGCTATGCCCGGTTCGGTCTAAGGGTTTGTCTGGAGCGGAGCTCAGAGGCACAGGATTGTGCCAGCACAGGCCAGCCAGCGCTAGCACTGCTGAAGTCAACTGTTCAGAATGTGCTAAGCGAATGGTCGGGAAAGGGCAAGCTGCAGGCAAGCGTTGTGAAGGTTCTTCCATGCCCAACCGACTGTAAGCACCCTTCTGGCGTGAAATGCTTGGAGCATGGGAGAAAGTCCTGCAACAACAGCTGCCCACATGCTCTCCACAACGTGACTGTGGGTTTGGTGCCTGTTTGCCGTCTTCCTCGCCCTCCAGTGACACAGATGATACGCCAAGCAGCAAAGTTTTGGCTCGGCCTTGAGCAGGTATGTGTTTATGTCGGTTTGCGTGTGTGTTTGTCACTATGTGTGTGTGTGTATGTGTGTGTGTTCACGCGTGCAAGCATGCGTGTGTGTGTGCATGCGAATGCGGTGCATGTGTGTGTGTGAATGCGAGCGTTCGTGCATGGTGCATACATGCGTACGTGTGTGCGTGTGTGGTGCATGTGTGTGTGCATGCGAGCGTGCATGCATGGTGCATACATGCGTACGTGTGTGCGTGCATGGTGCATGTGTGTGTGCATGCGAGCGTGCGTGCATGGTGCATACATGCGTACGTGTGTGCGTGCGTAATGCATGCTGAATTTCAGGGTCCATACTTTCTATTCAATGTATAAAAACCGTATTTTCCGGAGTATACGCCTCACCGGAGTATAAGCCGCACCCAGATATTATGTCACGAAATATCGACATCTATTCTGTATTCGGTCTATAAGCCGCATCCCTCATTTGCTGCGTGAACAGTTCTTTTCATTGCCGACGACTTTGGGGTTTTTTCGCCAACCCTGCGTTCACCAAAGTGGAATTTACGGCCAGCAGCACGATAGCCTAAGTAACCGGTGTACTTATGCTAAGGCATCCATGTAGTTTAAGATACTCTGTACTCTTCATTTTGTATTTCCCGCTTCTTTGCCATAATGATTATTCAGAACCCATTTGGGATAGAAGAGCGCATGCTCCAGTGTCATGTAACTCCGTCCTATCATAAAGCTTAGCCAGAGCAGCTAACACTTGGCTAAAATGTCCTTTCCCGAGGCACCCTCATGGGACAGGTTTCATAGCTTGATAATAGGATGGAGCTATATGACACAGAAATGAAGTATACGAATAAGAAAAAATGAAGGCAAGAACCACTGGAGCATGCGCTCTTCTATCCCTGATGGGTTCTGAATAATCGTTATGGCAAAGAAGTGGGAAATACAACATGGTGAGTACCGTATTTCTCCGATTATAAGTCGCACCTTTTTACACTAAAATTCAGGGTAAAAAAAGGGAGTGCGACTTACAATCGAGCACGACTTACTACTGAAGTGAATATATCCAAACGATATCGCTCAAACCTAAAAATGGGGGTGCGACTTATAATCGAGTGCAACCTATAATCGGGGAAATACGGTACGGAGTATCTTATACTGCATGGATGTCTTAGCAAAAGTCTTGTCCTAAGTACACCCATTAGACCTACTTGCTTTGCAGATTCACTGACTCTGAGCTTGAAGAGAGTCTCATAGCCGCTACGTTTGGACACTGCTATGATTCAGCTTTGAACAGCAGATGAAACTGAAAAGGAACGACCATGAGCAAGAGAGAAAGTGACTTGTATCAAAATGTCCGGCCATTGATCCAATGTGCGATATCCGTACGCATGCACCCAGTTGTGTCGCCATATATGGTCGTCACAGTGCACTGTTGTTTTTGAGAACGTGTGCATGTAAAATAAAATAGATTACTGAAAAAATGTCCAGTTACGCAGCCTACCGCACGCTACTTTGTGCACAGTCCGGTTGACCATCCTACATGTAGGCCATGGGAAAAGTATGTTCGGCTCTCGAGCACGTGCGCACTGATGTTTGGCGGCACACCAGAAGCTGTATTATTATTTCTGTACAGCATGTAAGGCTGGGTTGTAGCGTGTTCAGAACAGAATGCCACATCACTGTGACTGTTAACTGCGTTCAGATCGTATGCAATCACCGCACTGCTTACCGCTGTGCGCATGTCTCCCGCTGAGCTATGAGGAGTGAAGCCTAGCCTAGTGTAGCCTAGCGTAGCTGCGCGAAACACGACTGCAATGTGTATTGTGTCCTGTCATGTCTACTGCATGCAGTCCGAGGCTGCAGTCTAGCTGTGTGTAGCAGGATCTGGGAATGAAACATCAACCGGTCGATGTTGCATTGAGAAACATTCCTCCGTGTGATATAAAAATCCACCCGCTCTCACTGATTTTCACATGCTGATGTTAACCTTAAATTAAAGCGGTACCAACTTTTCTTGGGTGAATTATGAGTGTTTAGAACGAGGTCTGTCTCGTTGTCCAGGAAACGACCAACCAGCGACATTCCCGCCAAGGGCTTTATCAGAGTTTAAAGCCCGCTCAATCATAATTTTACTACTCTTGATGACGCGTCGAGGGCCTTGGATTAGTTTAAAGCCCGCTGAAGATACTCTAAACGGGTGCGTACAACTCCTGTATTTATACTAGTACGTTGCAGATAATGAACTCTGCATAAAATGTACGGTGTACTACTAAAAGCTACGCATTTGAGAAGTGTGTACGGTTTTTGCCTCCCGTATTCTTTCATCTATACGATTTTCCTTTGTCAACAGCGGGCGGAAACCTATAAAACCGAAGATCAAAGTCATTAGAGGTATCGGCAAGGGGCTCTCAAAGCCCCTAAATAGCTCCACAAGCTATGAATAAGAATGAAGCTCGCAATAAGAGCCCAGCATTTCATTTGCTTCCCTTCTACTTTTAGTAGTCCTCAGTGGTGCTGAGTTACCATAACTTACCGGAAGAAAATATTCTTTCATACCACACCAAGTCTCTCTGCACACAAACCACAAAACTACCCAATAATTATAATGGTACAAAAGCATAATGGAAGCGAGATAATGCATGTAACCTCGTTCTAAAATAGTTAGTGCATGGCAGGGAGGGTCTTATGGCTTGTTTGTGCCCTTCAGGGTAGCCCTCGGGCCTACGGCCCTCAGGCTAACCTGTCGGGCACTAACAAGCCATAAGGCCCTCCCTGCCATGCACTAACCTATAATTAAAGTTCGGTGGACATGTATACTCCAGAAAATGCAGTTCCTGTTGAACAATGAGCTACTTCTGGCTAGGATAACTCTTGTGTAATTACTGGTGCTGGTGAAGCCTATATCAGATCCACTCAACTCTAATTCAGCCACTTGGTCTGCACATGTTACACACACTACAGTGCATTCATCCGAAATACTAGTAGCCGCCAGCTTGCTACTGCTCAGTCGCTGAGAATGCGTTGGAAACCTGCTCAACGTCACACCGTGGCTTGTGGTGCGTCACATGCCTTCCTCCCTCTCAACGCTCGACCACCCATCGGAGGCAGACGCCTGCTACTCCAGTCTGAGGCAGGTCATGGCAAAGGTACACGAGAAGATGCACGATGAGAATGAACTCAGCACGCCCGGCATGCGCACGTCCTACGCAACTACAAGCATCTCTGATGACTGTCGATTCATCGAATGCCCAGACATGCCAGATGCTCTGAGTCGACTCTAGGTCCTCACCATGATGTGCAAACCATCCACTTCGAATCATCCCCAAGACAAAGAGACAACACAAGATGACAGAGAGAGAGCCCCAGCAGGAGAGGATCCTGTGGCTGGGACCCATGCAGGACCTATGGAGGACAGCAGTAGCAGCAGCAGCAGCAGCGACGGGCCAGCAATGCGCGAGGAAATACCACAAGACCATCACAGGATTTCTCAACGCAGACCGGGTAAAGTACATCTCTGACCGGGCCAACACGCCCGACTATACCGTCATCACATTCCGCGACCTTGGAGGGCAGCAAGTCTACCAATCCGTGCAGCCCCTCTTCATGGCCAAAAACACAACCTTTATTGCCACATACAACTCTTCTCTGGACCTTCTAGAGACCCTTCCCAAGCTCGATAAATTTCAGTTCAGCCAGGAAGAATGTATCGAGCGGGCCACTCTACCGGCCAATGCGACTCGCCTAGACCAGCTGCTAAGCTGGCTCGACATGCTGCTGCTGAATGCGAAAGCTGACAGCAGCACAGATCAGAGTGCTGCAGATGATGTGTTTGTAGTGGGGTGTCAGAGTGACATGTGGAAGAAAACCGATTTGCCTGATCCTTGTAAACTACTTCGAAAGAATATCGAAGGTTCGCCGTATAAGAACCTTGTCTGGACCGAAACATCGTACTTCAAAATCGACAGCACCAGATCCACTGGAAGTGCAGCACAAGCAGATGAGCTGCAGCGATTGAGAGAGGCCATCATCGACCGCTGCCGGAAGAGCCAACGTAACATCCCTGTTCCATGGCTCCGATTCTGCATAACCATACACACGCTCAAGCAGGAGGTCACGTGGCCTTGGATTTCCTTCAAGGAGGCAAAGTTCATAGCGAAGCAAGTCAAGGCTGTTCCACATGACTGCAGTGACCAGCAAATACAGCTGCTGCTGAAGTACTGTCACGAAGCAGGCCACCTGGCGTACTTCCCAACTTTCAAGCTGAAAGACACGGTCATCCTGGAGCCCCAGTTCATCCTGGACTGTGTCAATGCCTTTGTCTACATGAAGCTTGACCGAGACATCACAAGGCACGAAGAGCAGCGCTATAAGTCTGGGTTCATGACGGAGTCCCTGGCACGCAAAGCTCTCAACAAGATGTTCGAGGGTCAGTCTTACTGCGACCATGCTAAGGCGTGGCAAGCAGTCAGAGCAAGCAGTGATGGGTTCAAGCTCATTTTTGAAATCCTAGAATGGCTCTCAGTCCTGGCAATTGTGCAGGATGAGCACGAGTTTATTGTACCTGCAATCGTCCGGGACATGGGCACGGACCCCCAGCTGCCTTGTTCCTGTGCCTACGTGTCCTTTAAGCACGTAGACAGCGATGAGTTGATGCACTTTCCCGTGTTCGTGTACTGGCAATGCGTGGTGGAGGTGCTGCTGAAGTCACACAATCGCTCGGCTGCCATGCTGTCACGGTGCAGCGTTCGCCTTTGCTGGAACGATTGTCCATGGCTGCACCTGCACTATACACGCTACGGCTTACAAGTGTACGTCCACTGCGTGGGCCGACCCGGCGGCAGCGGATAGTCTACGCTGGATTAAGTCCGGGCAATCGTGCTCACAGTGCTACAGAAGTGGGGCCTGCAGGTCGAAGTGATCAGCACATTGCCATGCCCCTGCGGAGAAACATCGGGCGAGGAGTGTTTACAGCATGGCTTATCTACCTGCTGCGCACCAAGCTGTGCGCACGCCTTGGACGCTTCCACCCTAGTGGCTGAATACTACCCACTGTGTACACGTTCAAAGAAGCGGGATATACAGATGATCCGTGAGCAGGCCATGTTCTGGCTGGGTCTTGACCAGGTGAGAGACTTGACCTGATTGAATTCCCGCAGCTATGCAAAAGACGTTACGTTAGAAGCGCCTGCCGCTAGCTTTACAGCGGCGGATCCAGAGTTCAGCTGAGGGGAGGGCGCGGGTAATATCCATGACAGGGAACCCATGCGGTACATGTATTTTGTACACATTACGACATAGCGGCTATTTTACGTCTCAGGCTTACCGTAATTCCGTGCGTATAAACCCACGGGCACATCCGGATATAAGCCCACCTCCGTTTATAAGCCCATAGGCTTATAAACAGACACAAATGCAACTCGCGTGTCAACAATATTTTTTCACAATGTGGACTCTTCCTACCAAGGTACAGCAGGTCAGTGCAGTTTACCAGTAGAGTATGGTAGACCCACTATGAGCACGGACTTGTACTTTTTCGTGAACCTTCAAAATTCGAATATTGGCCCATGGGCTAAAAAACGAACATGTTTTACTGGATATTTTATCCCCAAACTGGCTTATATGCGCGGAACTACGGTAGCGGTTATGTCTATTTTAGCACATGCACTCACTCCCACTTTTTCAACCACTTCATTGCATTGAGGACTCTGGCTGTAGAGGAACATCGCCGTACTACATTGAACTGTGTAAAGATAGTGCTTCAAAGCTCAAGACATGCTGAGATGGAGAACAATAATGCTGCGTAGCAGTGCCACCAGCCACATCATTCGTGACAGTCACAACGTCGTCATCTGCGATAGTTTCAACAGCTAAACGCTCCTGACTCGCATCACTACTACTGACAGTCCCACCATCGTCGTCAGAATCTACTTCAGATTCCATTTGGGGAAGATCAGAGTCTGAGCAGACCTCAATCTCAGGACTCTCTCTCTCTCTCTCTCTCTTTCTCTCTCTCTCCACACTATACTTTTCGCTATATACTTTTTCAATCTTTTTTTGTTTCTCTTCTTCTCCCGATTTTCTGATGCGTGAAGTAGGCGCGGATGCCGAGACCATTGGTCGGCAGAGCCTGCAGCACCCCATCACCACCGCTGCGTTGCATTTGCAGCCCCATTCAGTCAATGTCTTGTTAGTCTGTTGTTTTGTCATTTCCTGCTTCTTTCTTCTTTTACGAATTGGGTGCGTGGTTTCAAGTAAATAAAAAAATAAAAAAACCTTCGCTGTGGTCCGAATTCTCCTCCAAAGACGGATCGCTTGACTGAGCAGCTGACGAAGCGCAAGTTCGCTTCGCGAAAAATCCGTGGAGAGTTTGTTGGCTCCCTGGCCGCTTGGGCGGGCGGTGCGCCATCCCCTTCACCGACTTAGCTATACAAGTTCGTCAACTGAAAACTAATTTCAAAACTAATAGTCAAACAACTACTCCGTGTTCAGAAGAACTTTCTTATCTGACACTAGAAACTACTTGTCACAGTATGACTGTGACTTGCGCAACTGCCCACGAAAAAAAAGAAAATCGAAATATTTGAGGGGAGGGCGCGCGCCCACTGCGCCCTCCCCTAGATCCGCCTCTGCTTTAGTTCATATGTTTTTGTGGGGGGGGGGGGGGGGGGGCACGAACAAGAGACAAGTTCCACCAGGCCTTGTTGTAATTCTGTGTTATTTCTGTTTAGGAGGAGAGTTCTTCACACACAAAGTTGCACCATTTCTCTATTTTCTTAAAACTTGCCACGTATTCCCGTCATGTGGATGAGGAGATAACCATTTTGAGCCTACTCTGACTTCGGCGATTATGGCTTGTGCGTGTGCGTGTTTGCATGCATGTGTGCTTTTGCTCGTGTGTGTTTACATGTATTTGTGTGTGCGTGTGTGTGTGCGTGCACGGGTGTGGGTGGGCATGTGCGGGTGTGTGCGGGTGTGTGTGTGTGTGCGTGAGTGCGGGTGTGTGCGTGTGGGCGTGGGCATGTGCTTGCGTGTACTTGGTCTCTTGCAATACCTGCAGGATGCACATGGAAGGCTGTTTGAGCCGAGATCGACCTCTCTTCCTTCAGGTTAGTTGGATGCACAATTCAAACAGATCTGCTACTTCCAAATGATGTTTTGCATGATGTCCGCATTCGTGTGAACCTTTAGTCGCAAGGAAACCGTACGCTGTTCTATTTTCGTTTTGTGGTAGCTATTCCCGTTCGGGTATTGAACACTGCATGAGCACAGGACCATATCTGCTGTGGATAGAATGTAAAATGTGAGCCTCTTCTCACCGCAAGCTGGTGTTTGATCCCAACCAACACTGCAGTTCTGACTCTGTTTTGGGCTCTGGACGACTGACATTACATTGTCATAGAATTGCTATGGGGTCGCTGTCATATTTTGTCGTCCTGAAGCGAACATGAAGCGAACATCGTTCGTGGCAGAGGAGGAGGAGGGTGCGAGGTCGAAAAATCATAACTTGCTCTACAATGCACTACGTGTACATGCACTTGATTTGTGGTGTCCAGCATTGCAAACTGTGTTCATTTTGGAGGAGTGATGGGTCCGTCCGAGTACGAAATGAACCATGTTTGTTTCAGTGGCGACAATAAACTTCTGCAACAAACCGTGTGTGCGTGCCCACCTGTGTGTGTACATGTATACGTTGCATCTGCATGTGTGTGTGTGTGTGTGTGTGTGTGTGTGTGTGTGTGTGTGTGTGTGTGTGTGTGTGTGTGTGTGTGTGTGTGTGTGTGTGTGTGTGTGTGTGTGTGTGTGTGTGTGTGTGTGTGTGTGTGTGTGTGGTACCTTCAACATGCCTGTATACTGTCTTGCAACAACGTTGTGCAAAGACATTCTGAGATCTTGCTGCCAATGGCACATGTGTTGCATGTGGCCAGTGTTTCCTATGTGTTCGCTGATGCGTCTGATGGCCTTTGCACCTTCTTTATGTGTTCTCTTTTTGATTCTGTTGCAGTGCAAGATTCAAGTGAAGCTAGTTCTCCCACTCCTGCAACCGATGGTGCTTCGCTTTGCGATTTTAGGTTAGTATTTTTGTTGTGTGGTTAAACTTACTCTAGTTGGAGTTCCGGGCCGGCACATAATCAGCTCTCGCCCTTCCGATTGCAGCTTTCATAGCTCAGGATTCTGTGACATTGGCCGAAACAAATGGCAGCCTACAACATTATGCAGGCTTGCAGTGCATATACTGTAAACCGTGAAATTATTGCGATGGTCTAATTTCTGCGAAATTCACGACCGCGTGGAAATCGCGAAATTTAGACAGCGCGAAAAGGAGATCCATGAACGGTTTAGCAAGAATGCCACAGTAGCACATTCTGCAATCGCAAAATTAAAACCTCGCAAACCTGTCCAGATTCTGAAAACGCGAACTAAAAACGCCGCGAAAATTTCACGCTTTACAGTAGCAGTAGTCATGTGATTAAACATTGGCCATAGCATTCGTTTGTTGGCTCCTTGAAATATACTCTTGTCAATAAATTCAGTCTCTATTAAAGTTGTAAGTATACATTCTAGTTTGTGAGCTATAAAAATGTCTACTTATAAGTTCAGTGATAACATTGGCTTCCATGCGTTTCCCCTTTATTCAACCTGTGTGCACATGCTGCAGGTGGAAGACACTGGCACAGATCAAAGATTGGGTAGACTTCGAGTCTGTACTCCAGAACTTTGTCGCAGGCGAGGAAAGAAGTGAGCTGAACTTTAAAACTGATGTAGTTCATGTCAATGGCCATTGCTACTATTATTATTGTAAGCTTAACCAAGCAGGCTTGGCTAGCCTTCGCAAAAGCCGAACAAAGTAAAGGAATGAGGAACGAGCCGAGCCAAAAAGGCTCACAACACATGCCAGTGCAAAAAAGGAAAAATAATGATAGTTCAAAACTTGAAAGGACTTCTTGCATGTGATTTTGTTGTATTTTGAGACAGTCGGATTGTGTTAGTGTTACTAGTTTATCGTTAGCTTACTACAAGTAGTTTGTTGTTGTCAAAGGAGAAAATGGAATTTTGAGTTCTGTACACTATTTCACGTCACATTGTAACGGAGCGTGACTTCAACTGCACAATGGCCCAACCCCAACCAGGCCGAGAAACCAGGGATGCAAATAAAATGTTATTGCAAGAGTTGAAGTAACATGAAGAAGAAGGAAAGAACAGACCAGCGAAACTACGTCCTGCACAGACCATCTCCGATCGGGAACTTACCCAGGTCGCCGGAAACATGAAACAGTCACAAAGCAAGCCGTGCGCAGCAAGTAGATTTACCATGCATGTACTGTTGTGATAGGACTACATTTGTAGGAGGAACGAGCTGCAGAATTATATGCATATAGCAAGTAGTAGCATGAAGCGAAGCACCAGCATGGCATGAGAGTCAGAAACTGCAGTTGACACCTATTGTAGCCATAGATGTATCAGGAAGCATGCATACTCTCAGGTGCAAGGCACATTAGCTATTTTTAAGGGGACGGCACACCTATACAACAGAAACAGAATGAAAGCACACCAACAAGGCACAGATGCAGCTCCTGAAGCGGTGGGAGGCGAGTAGATCAGCTCGCCAGCAAGTGGTCAAAGACCGATAATCCCATTCACTGCATTAACTGTGGGTCGTAGCACGGCTGGAAAAAATCCTTCCATAACCAGGACTTTAACCTGGTACCCTCTGTTTCTCAAATATGGTCTTAGACCATCCCACTATGCCTGCCTGAAATCAAGAAAAGTGGCTGTTGAAATGTTGATTTTTACTGAAATTACAAATTTTGGGCCAAACTTGGGGGTACGGCGTAGCCCGGATTGCTAAAATTTCTGGAAGAACCAGAAATAATGAACTTATCTTTGAATATAATTATCTTAAAAATAGTAGCGAAAGCTTCCGGAATTTTTTCCATCCCCATTGCGTTTGGAATGTACACGTCTACACGACCATGAAAATCATTAAATGTGCCTCATCCAACCCTGTCCTAATACATTTTGTCATGTTTGCGTTGCCTTTTATCCCTTTTTTCTTGAAGGAAATCTTGGTAGAGCTGCAGTGATCTTGGTTGATGACGCGATGAGGAACGTCTACGGTGCTGAACTAAACCGATTCCATGAAGCGAATGCTGGCGTAATCCGTGGGGAAGGGAGAGGCATGGATAACCTATTCTGCATCATTCTGTACCTCATCAACAAGAGGCAGGGAATGACCATCAACGAACTGTATGGAATGCTGGCTAAACATGCAGAAAGCCATCGTGGCGATATCTGGAAGGCCCTCTCGTAAGTGTGCAGAGAAGGCCTGTGCTGTTAGTGGTGAACACGTATGCTCTTGTATCTAGGCAGTCATAGCATCGCAGGGAAGATACAAGAGCATTGCGCCCAGCATGATGTGCTTCTGAGCATCAGATTTGAAAGTCCTACATGCTCCTTGGTCTATGCAACGCGCAACCACAATCTTGCCCATCACCAGCTGACCTTAGCGGCAGCCAAGACCAGTGGCAGTGGTAGAATATGTGAGCGTGTACAGCATTGGCCCTGCCCCTCAGAGCAAGTGAAAAGGACAGGCTGAGAGCGAAACACACCTTATTTCATATTCCACTCTGTACATCTCTGCACTCACGCTGCGATTTCACTCACTTCCCAACGGCATTATCAGCTCACTCACCCTTACCGAGAAGTCGCCACCTAACTTGTATTGATTTTATCGATGGTGCTGGGAACAAGGTTGGCCAGAGAGTGCATTCCCTAGTGGACAGATTAAAGTTATTCGAGTCAATGAGCCAAAAGCTGCTGCTCACCCTTCTTCATATTGATCATCGATAAAGTCGTTGCAGATCGTTTGTCCCCGAAGAACTGACTGTGGATATCCAGTGATTTGACCCCAGCATTGGTTTCTGGTTTTGTTTTCTAACAGGGAAGCTGCATACAATGATTGAGCAAGCACTGCGTTGGGAAAGGAACAGGTAAAAGGCAATGCTATCAACTACCAGTGCACCTAGGAATCCAATCTGTACTTACTCCCTTCTATTCCCGTGCTGTCTCCTGCCCTTTCACCATTGTAGGGAAGTGAAGACTTTGTCTCTTTTGCGTTGCAGCCTATAGCCTATGGGCTTGTAACAAGAACGTAGTGTTATGTTCCGAAGTTACTTTTGCAGTTAGTCTGTAAGGCACAGTAGCTATATATGAGTGTACTGTATCAAAAACTGTTCTGATATGACCAGTTCCCATGACACCACATGGCTTTCTCTGACAAGCCACGCTTGATCTGATTCGGTGCACGGTGGCGACTTTCCCGTGATTGTCTTGCCACCAGGTTTCAGCAATACACCACTGTGGCACACAGAGAAGAAACCTAACACGGGTTACATGTACTGAAGTAGCATGGCGACACTATACACTCAATGGACATAACTAAAAATATATGTTTTCTGATGGCCTACCTAACAGCCTAACTGTGAGTCTAAGCTACTTCTGTTTGCTGAGGTTAGGTTTCTTTGTGGTAATCTAGTGCTTTGTTTTGATTTTCTCTCCAGGGAATCTGAGCAGTGGACATGATGGTTGACTCACCAAAGATTAGTCAGTCAATCGCATTGCTCAGCTGCTGCAATTGCAGTTACGGTATTCTCGTTGTCTGCTGTTATAATGTTATGTTCATCTATTTATCATTTATTTATACCGATCTATCCAGTTGCATTGAAAGCCCATGAAGAAGGAGCCATTTCCCCGAACCCGCGATGGCTGGCTGGCATGTGTTTCTTTTGCTGTCCAAGACCGAGGCTGTTATTGCAACTTTCACAGTCAATCATCAAACAAGAATACTTGAAACTGCTGTTCTGCAGCTGCCATAGCACTGACAGTAGTCACTGCATTTGTCTCAGTTGCATGGCAAACCTATTGCCAACCCGAACATTTACGTACAGGCGCACTTGATTCTTTGATTCTTGCCCATGAGAATGACTCAGGCTACATATGAACCTTTCATCTTTCAGTGCAACACCTTTGACTATTCGAGAGCGGCAATTAAAAATGCAGGAGCGGAACGAGGTGTCACTTTTCCTACACAAAAGATATTATCTCTGATACGCAAACCTGTACAATGACAATAATATCAATGCGGCATCGATATGCCGTGTTCATTTTTCTATATTCTTGGACTAGTATTTTCAATTATCTTGTGTCCTTCGTGGACATTTGGCTTCATATTGTGTGTGTGTGTGTGTGCGCGCGCGCGCGTGTTTGTGTGTGTGTGCATGTGTGTGTATGCATGTGCATGTGTGTGTGTGCGTGTGTATGCATATATGTATGCCCATGCATGTATGTATTAGTAAGAAGAAATCACATGGAAACGAGTTATGAAGCAACTATCCACGACTGTAACAAGGTAATAAGCAGTCAGAAAGTGCGATAACAGGGCACAAAACTGACATGTTACTGTGACATTCAACGACCTGAGATCTAGCCCTCACACACATCCAGTGCGCGAACCAACAGCCTTCCAGCATGGAAGGTCCAAGGTTATGGTAAGACCAATGAGGGGAAAGTGAGCGCAGCGAAAATGTCCATAAGCTAAGTCCCATGGCACCAAAGAATGCCGACTGTTACAGGACCATGACGGGACCAGTTAATAACATTACAATGCGGTCTAACTACAATCGAAGCAGCAAAGCAACACACCACCCAAGTTACTTGGGTGGGTCAGCAATATCAGAGATAAAGAAAGGGGTAAGCTTTGTGAATTTTTTTAAATTGTTGCTATGCTGTGACATAGCACTTTCAAGCCCTATTCTAATGCTCACAACCCCAAATCGTGCCAATACAGGCTATAGGTTTCGGCACACTCGCACTTGGCATTTGCCAACTGCAAGAACCGGCCGCTGCCTGGGCTCCCCTCTGTATAAATCTCTCCATTCCATCAATGTTATGTGATATTCAATCACCAGCTTTATTTTTAAGCAAAATATATCAACCCTGCTGCTGCATTCAATCTGCTCATGCACGAGCCACGCTCACCCGTACTTCTAGTTTGATCACTGCTAGCCTTGAAATTTCTGCATCATACTAATCTCACTATATTATCTCTTATGCGCTACAGGCCATCGTGAGAATAAAGATTGGAAACTACAACTGCTCCCAATGTTATCTATCCTTCTCCGTTCTTGGTATCTGCTATCCGTAGCCATGACCACCACTGATACATGGCTGATTATCTCTGCTGTGAAAGCTGTCCTCCGTGCTCAGTTTCTGATCCATTATGCCGCCAGTGATAACATGTCTTCCAGCTTGACATTTGGCTACCTTGCTTCCATCATCATCACTTCATTGTGGGGAAGTTGCTGGAACGGGTCTGGATGGTGAGCGATGATAAACTCTTTGTACGGCAAGCTGGCTATCATGATGCTGCCTTTGTACGGCTGCCAGGTTAGGTTGGAGATATCCGCCGTTCCCTTCACCAACACCGTCGTTACCAGTTCATTCCAGTGAGCATGTGTACATATCATTGTACGCGTAACAGCAATCAGCAGTTTTTGATTGATCATAAAAATCATGCTCTGCACTGTCCTCACAGACGTCCAGTGAGTCATGCTACCCAGAATGCAGTTCCAGTGGTGCTCATTGATCCGTGTGTCCCACCAATCAAGATCTTCATGGCTCTACAGTCTTTGTATCGTGTAGGTTGGGTTCAGCGCTGAGCGTTCTTTTGACACTTGAAACACAGTTGCGCTTTCCAACGGAGAGAGTCGTCAGCCACTGGCTATGCAACTCTGTTGTTGTTTTGCTGTGTTGTACGGGCGGAGCACAAAGACACAGTTGGTTCTTTGCAGCAAGCCTCTACTTGTTAAGTGTGTGACTGTGGCCGCCATTGCATGCCTTTTTTCATAGCTGGCACGTTCCTCAAGAGGCTTCTGCTCCTGGACTATACTTTCTGCTTTCACTCACTGTAATAGTCGCGGACAACCCTGGCCACGTCACCGGCCACAAAGCTCGCTAGAAGTGGTCACTCGTCCCCTGTCCGAAATTTCCAGTCCACTGTCGTATACGCTTGGACGATACAGGTGCCGAAGGGAGCTGCACGGATACCGTAGAGCAACCAGACACTTGCGCTATTGTAACGTTAGGCAACGATTTAGATCAGTTGACCATCTAGTCACGCATCGCATTTCCATTTGACGTTTGAATGGATGTTCAAATAATATCCAACAGCCTCAATCCTCCAGTCTCAGGTCTGTGGTCATCGAAATCATGAGGATCAACACCTGTTTTTCTATAACTGTCTGGCTTAATTCAATCTTTGACCATTATCACTGCCATTGTAGGACCAACCGTTTACTCGATTCATAAATCATCATTATTTTTAGATTCTCGGATCAGTCCTTGGCTTTGCCGATTGGCCAAGGAACCGAAAACGACAAAAAAATACCGGGTTCAGGTCTTTCTTCATGCACGCATGCGCCATGGCAACCACGACCGGAGAGTCGGAGACCCCAGGCCCAGCCCATCCCCAGGCCACCTGCCCAACATCGGCCAAAGCCTCTGCAGACTGCAGTACTGAAGTACCGCACCGTTGACATTGTCATCTCCTTCGGATTATTTTTTCTAGTGCTGATAGTGAAGAGCGTAGATCTGTGCGAGCTTGATTCTGAACATTCCAAGCGTTATTTTCGAAAGAGTTGTTTGCCTTCATCAAGTTAGTTCGCTCTGTACCTGAGCCACAACTGATGAACGGCTTGTACTTGAAAGTACGACGTGTTATTGCTTGAGAAAAGACAACTCTTTGATCCTAAGAAGTTATGCAGTAACTTGATGTCGATCGTGATCAGTCCGCAGTGCGAGTGAACTGTGGTCACGCGGACAGGCAGGAGTGTGAACAATGGCAGACAGGGTGCGCTATAACATAGCCTTCTTACTTTCCAATCTAGATGCATCCGTGATCTTGGAACTCTTGCTGGAGGATGATGTGCTGGACGTTGATGAATATAAAACTGCCTCCAGCAAGGAGAACGTGAAGTCTGATCTGACAAAGTACGTGGTGAGGTTAATGCTAACGAAAACGGAGGAACAGGTGGATTCGTTCCTGAAGCGGATTCAACACAGCCAACCCGATGTTGCTAAACATGTTGCCAACACTATGGCAAAGCGACGCGATGCAACTGCCAGTGGGGGAGCTGACCATCCGACGAAGCCAATGTCGGCAGATCGTGAGTCAACACGTGGCTCATCCTCCGGTAAGTGTTTACATAGAAAATGATCCATAATGATTTACACACATAATGACACACACATTGTGTAAGAGAAATCAGAGTAGATCTAGCGTGTAGAGGGGACGGCTCGATACCGGGACGTTTTGACAGCCAAATTTGTATAGACCCAAACCGATCATCAGCGTTGATTTTTCACTCGAAATATGTTTGTGGAAGGAAACTGGCATGTTGAAGTTTGCTCTGGGGCCAGAGTCAATCGAACTGAGCCACTACTTTGTGTTGACCCATTGCCTCCAAGTTGCCCAATTTTTCGCTTCAAAAAAGTTCAAATCAGAGGTGGCTCCAAACCGGACACGTTTTAGAGTGCACGTCAAATTCACTCTGGGTCTGAAATTAGGTAATTGCTATCGCTCCACGACGGCCAGTACAGAGTAACAATAAGCCTTGTGTGTGCTTCCATTAGTTTTGATTGGTATGCGGTGCTTTATTGGCGAGAGGCGAGCCGCTGTTTACCTGCGACAAGAAGTTGATTTTTCGAAAGTCGTAAAACTCAAGTCGCAGTGCGAAGCAACACGCCAAAAACTCACCTGCTTGATATGGCGCTTCTGGTCATCGCAGAGCCATGAAATTTTGGCTCGGAGTATAACACATCGTAGTCTCACTGTGACATATGTTTTCTAATCAAAATACCAAGAGAGAAAGTGAATATTGAGTCCGTTCCGGTTTGCAACCGGTGTCCTATTTGAAACCGTCCCCTCTACATGTCAGTTACTGTATCACAACAAAGATAATCTGGCGTCATCAGGTGGGGCCTTGCTCAGGCATTGTTTGCCAAGTAGGAAAAATCATAAATGAAAACGAACACAAAGGGAGACACTTAGCTTATCGGCTAATTGTGTTGTTGCGAACCTTGGAAGGCAAAGTCAGTTTAGTACCAATCCACTCAGTATGAGTCTATCAATGACCAGTCCACAGTGGACAGATAGCTGGTGGGTAGGTAGGTAGATAGGTACTAGGTGGGTGGGTGCGTAGGTAAGTAGGTAGGTGAGTGGGTGGGTAGGTAGGTGGGTGGGTTGGTGGGTAGGTAGGCAGGTAGGTAGGTTTTATTGTTTTACTAGGGGACTCCCAACAGGTCAAGGCATTTTACAAGTAACCTAGGAAAAGCCGGATTTGGTCTGTAATACAATCCCAGGAAGAGATACAGCTTGGCGGCATTGGTGGGATACTGTGTTACTCCACCCGAATATTCACAAGTAATTCACAAGCGCACGTGTATACAGGTATACAGGTATGTTATTTATTCCACATCCCATAGCATGTAGTTTCCAATCAAAGAGGAGCGGATGGAAGCCAACCACGGGTGAGAAACATAAAGAAAATATATGTAGGACTCAGTATAGAGTCCATGCACTATATGATGTCCAGCACCCTATATAGAGTCCATTGGTCCAAAATCCACTATACAGAGTCCAGGAGTCCACTCAGTTTTGATCAGCTTCATCCTGCCGCGCAATCCCCTATAAGGAGTACACTTTTTCTACAAGTCCCCTATTCACAGTCCAGGAGTCCAGTTTATCCAGTCAGTGAGTCACGCCGTCCTGTGTACATGTGTGTTGTGCCCGAAAGAGAACACATTTTCAGTTTTGCTTGCCTCGTGGCAGCGCATTCCTTTCTTCACTTCAGCCATGGCTGCCAATTCTGCTGTGCAGTTGCTGACAGTAATCTGTCTCGAGCTAACCAAGGAGGATAAGGAGACGTTCAAAATCAAATCTGGAAAGCGTCTTGTGGTTCTCTGAAGACGTTTCATCAGTGCGCGGGATGAAAGCAGAAATTGCAGAACGAGAAAAGTTCAGCACAGTTCAAATCTGACGAGTCAGGTACACTGACGCTCTCTTCCGTTCGACGCCACAAGGATCCCCTTTTTGGCTGGCCATTGCTGCCAGTAAGACGTTTGAACGGTTTCATCAGAGCGAGGGATGAAAGCAGAAAGCGGAGAAAGAGAAAAGTTCAGCACAGTTGCAATCTGACGAGTTAGATACACTGACACTCTCTTTCGTTCGACGCCACAAGGATACCCCTGTTTGACTGGACAAGAGCTGCCTGTACCACCGTGTCAAAAGGCTGTCCAACTACATGGCAGGACGATGACTGAGGTAAGGAAGCTTTTACTCGTTTCGATTGGTCTGCTGTTCTGTCGTTATGCTTGAATTTTTTTTCCATTTTCAAGGAGCGTATCGCGTTTGTTTGATGTTGCTTGAATGAATGCCCTAAAAGTAATCAACCACTTCGTAATAGTCCTCAAGGACTGCAAGGACTTTGCATCAATCGTATATGATCGTCTAGCTATCAGCAATTATTATTTTATTTCATGAGAAATGTATTCACAAACGCAGTGCCAGTGTACTAGTAGTACAGTGGTCCCTCTATAATCCGGCACCATTTGTGCCACGGAAATCTGCTGGATTAGGGAGGGTGCTGGATTAACAAATCTGATCTACTGCTGCAATGTGCATGAAGAGGACATTTGGCTACTGAAAATTGTGCCGGTTTATCGAGGGTGCTGGATTATAAAGTGCCGGATTAGAGAGGGACGACTGTAGTAGGACTAGGAGGATTGCTTGTATGCCAATGACAAGAAAAAGCTTCTCAAGCTAATACTCGTATTCCCTGAAGTTACCGTTTTGATGTCACGAACATGACATTGTGTCAGTGAAACTGCCTCGTGACAACAAATCATTGCATTTCCATCTTGGGGAAGACTGACTGACAGCAACGCTGTACAGATTGTTTAAATCATCTCATTTCAATTTAGTTGCAGTGAAGTGAAACACTGTGTACACTACATGTATGTTGGTGTGTCTGTGCGTCTTGAGTGTGCACACACGATCTTATTCCTCGTATTACTAATAGATTATTGTCCCCACCATCACCTGTTCACAGGTCTTTGAGTGGATTGATTTTCATTGAGCATCACATTCGTTGAGAACTTGGTAGTTGTGTGCTCCCATGCATCATTACGGTAATAAGCGTATCCTTGTGCTATCTATTTGTTGCAGGTGTGCTGATCTTCAGAAGCTTGCGGAACTGAGTGCTGCTGAACATTTCCATGGCCATGAGCAATGGTGAAGCTTGCTATTGCACTCTCAGCATGTGCTAGTATTATGCTGACCACTGCACTATGTTACTCTCTTACACTACTACGTGTATGTAAACGTGCGTGTACCCGTCCCCGTACGCATTCGTTTCGTATAATTATTTGTTATCCCTCTTGACTTTACATGTACATGGGTGGACGTTTGCATGGCTGTTGGAGTTGCGTGTGTATTGTGTCTCTACTCTTTTTCTTGGTGTTTTCTTAGCGTTGTATAAGTTTGTGTGTGTGTGTGTGTGTGTGTGTGTGTGTGTGTGTGTGTGTGTGCGCGCTCGCACAATAATTTGAAAACAAATAATTAATCCTGGGCTCTCCATTATTCTCTTTCGATTCTTGGTTTTTTCTAGGTATTTTCTTGGCGTTGTGTGGGTGTGTGCATGTGTGTGTGCGTGCACAATAATTTGGCAACACTACATGATTGAGATATTGTAATTTGCAGCGTCTGCGAAGAGACTACTTGATTTGAGGATGGTGTTTGTAGGGTTTTTCATGTAATGAAGTGGCTGCAGTGGCGCCTCAATACATATTTTTTTATCTTGAGAAGTGAATGATGTAAAGGATTAAAGGGAGAGGCCCTTTTCTGGTTAATATTCACTGCTTACAGCAGATCCTATGTCTATTTTCAAACTCGATAGGGGATGCCTAATTGGCTGGACTTTATACAGGGGGTGTTGTCCACATAAAGACTCTTTATAGTTGATTTCAAAGTTTGGACTCCGTACAGTTGATTTTGGTCCAATGGACTCTATATAGGGGTAAAGCCAATTGGCTGGACTCTATACAGGGAGTGATGTCCATCGAAACTTTGAGCTCACAGTTGATTCCAAGTTTGGACTCTGTACAGTGGATTTTGGACCAACGGACTCTATATAGGGGTTGGACATCATATAGGGGCTGGACGCTCTACTGAGTCCAACATATATTAATAGAAAGAAAGGGTGTATGTGTTCACAGTACACTGCTCTGGTACGGCGACTGGTGTATGTATCACTACGGGATCATGTGTGATAGGGAACAGGAACTGTACGCTGTTCAGCAAGCCTGCTCAGACCAAGACTATACAACTTTGAGTACAAAATGCTACAGGTTCTGAGATTTTATTCTGTTCACTAGCTTCTATTAATATGAAGAGGTGTTTTCTTTGGAAATACCCACACAAATCACTTCGGAGGATTAGCAAGACGAAATTCGCGTTCGCAAACATTTTTCAGTTCGCGAACTGGATTGCAAACTTTCGCATTTTTCGTTTGGAAAAGTAGTCGGAACACGAATCGCGGATTGTTGTTGTTGTTGTTGTTGTTGTTGTTGTTGTTGTTGTTGTTGTTGTTGTTGTTGTTGTTGTTGTGTTTTTTTTAATTCGCAAACCAAACGGGCAGATCTGCCCAATGAAACGGTGGCGAATGCAGATAGAAAGCAGTAATAAATGAAATTGGTGTTGGGAAGGCCACGAGGCCATGTGTTTTTTATGAAGTATTTACTATTTATTCAATATTTCTCTCAGGATGTGAAATATGAAATGTCTCAGAAATTCAGTTTATTTTGGAACGCAATTTCGCGTACATGTAGTGATTTAGCCTACAGTTAGTTCACGAGTTATTTCGTAGGTGTGTTTGTTTCTTGCGTTGCACAGTGCAAGACAAGAATTTGCACAACTGCACAAGAGTATTGACGTTGACTCTCAAAATGATTCTTGGTCGCATTTTGTTTGTTTCTTCTAAGTTTTGACAAAGGGACATGTATTTTCGTTTTGTCTTTTCTCGCAGTGTTTCCTTTCATTTTCTAAGCCGCGACGCCGTCGCGTACTGCGGTACGACGGGTCACGTGCTGCCAACCTACTGCATTCTTTATTCACCAGTTTTCACGGCTACACTGCATGCATTGTATAATGACTCATGATTATTTTTTGCTCTGGGCTGAATCCCGTACTAGTGTAGTGTAGGGCTGTTTCAGGGTTTGTTTTCGATGAGGCTCGGCAAGTAATATAATTATTAGTTCGGTTCTTCGAAAGGAAGAGAAAGAGTTGTCTTTTTGTTGTTTGCGAAATATCTATTTTACTACCACGAAGTGTTCCCGTTGCGTGTGAGAACCTGCATGACAAATTGGTAGCAGAGGATGGTTGTCAAGTAGTGGTTCCTTCACCAAGCGCAGTGTGGTAGTGAGTAGCATTTCGGCTTTTCGCTGGACAACATGGATCTTGAGGAGTGCAAGAAGGCGAAGGCCAAGGCCAAGTTCCATGTCACACGAAATCGAAACTTGTTGCTCAGCAGGATCTACGAAGAGGATGCGACCTCGAAAGAGATCAAGAGGTTGTTGGATGACGTGACTGAGAGTGTTCACAACGCTGTGGATGTGTGTCTAAAACTGGTAACTCGGTACGCAGAATTAGGACTACCCACAGAAAAAGTGCACGAGGAGATAGAGGTCATCAACGTCGACTACAGCGATGCTGTCAGCAAGACCAGCGACGTGCTGGCAGAAATCAGCAAGAGGCCAAGTCGAGCCAGAACGGGTGAAAGTTCGCCAGCTTCCATCACCAGAGCCAAGAACATAAGATTAGTAAAGGCAATGTTGACGCAGAGCTTGGAGAATCCCAGAGCAAGTGGGAGGATGTTGACACCGCCACACTCTCCTAGCAAGGCCCTTAAAGAAAAACAGAACATGTGTGCTGAGAAGAGTCTCAGTCGTTTTGGGAATGTGTCTGCATCCAGTGTCAGCCAGAGTGCGACTGTTGAGGGGACTACCCAGCCGCCTGCCGTTTCCTCGGGAGCACCTCTGGAAGCAAATGCATTGGCACTCCCCCTGGGAACTCCAAGTGGTGACCATCGTGATAGACAGGACGAACCGCCTGGGGCTGACATGACAAGCGTCAGTGACAGCCAGCCAATTGTGTCGTCGTCAAGTGCAACCATGGCAACCAATGTGAGTACAGACAAGTCACGCACAACCAAGGTGTCCTGTCCGGTCTCTTTGTCGTCTGTACCTACGTTACCGTTTACGACGGAGCTCTTGTCAAAAGTTCACCCGGTTGCCATGGCAACCGCCGAAACCATGGCAACACCGCGGAACATTGGTCATCAGTCTGCAGGGAGTAACCAGGCAAGTGGCATTGCTCAGTCTGGCGTGCAGCAGGCACCGGTATCTACGTCGGCAGCTCCGGCAAGAAACGTAATCACTGCCCCTAACCGTAGTTCAAGTGGGGTCAGTGTACCACCCAGAGCATTGTCGGCCACGACCATACTCGTGCAGTCAGCCCAGACGCAACCAACTCTTGCAGTGCAGCCTCCTCGTGGGACGCAACCAACTCCAGCTGTGCAGCCTCGTGCAGTCGCAAGTCATACTCTCTCGGCTTCTACACCTGCATTTGTGCCGGGATCAGGAAATTTGTACGTTCCGCCGCCGACCCATTCTGGACATCCATTCTCATTTGGAACACCACCGGGTTTCTTGTCGGCACCCGACGCACGTCTTGCCGAATCAGTCTGGAATAATGTCTACCCCACCAGCGACCCAACCGGCCATGCAACAAATACCAGTTGGTCAGCCAGGTCACGCGTCACACCGTGAAGATTATGGTCTTGTGCAGCCGAGCAGTCTTCCAGTTGCCATGACATCGCCGAGTGGTCTACCAGTGCAAGCGAGTAGTTCTGGTAGAATCGAATTGTACCGACATTTAGAGAAAGTGTCAATTCCAACGTTCAAGGGCGACAAGCGGCAATATGAGACGTGGAAGGCGGCGTTTGAGATGTGCATTGGCTGCGCTAACATTCCGGATGGGCTGAAGTTATTGCAGCTCCGAAAATACCTCGCGGGCGATGCACTACGGTCTATCGGCACTCTTGGCTACTCGGCCGAGGCGTATGAGGCAGCACGACGTAGGCTGGAACGCAAGTTCGGTGGTCAGCGACGTCTAGTTGCAGTGCATCTAGAAGCCCTTGAGAAGTTCCCAGCGATGAGATCTGCAAACGCCCAGGAGTTGGAGCGTTTTGCGGAGCTACTCGATGTCGCTGTGGTGAATTTGAAGGCGAGTGGTCAGACACAGGAGTTGGCTAACGGGACATTTTATGTCCGGCTAACACAGAAGCTGGGGGTGTCTCTTCTGCTGAGCTACCAGAAGTGGATACACCAGACAAGCACCTCTGAATCTGTCGAAGCGCTTCTGCAATGGGTGGAGCTGGAAAGCGAGTTCCAAGTACGAGCCCAGGAGACGATCCAAGGTATCTCCACGGCAACTCCAGTAGGGTCCACTCAAACAGCAAAGAGTCACCCGCTGAAGGGTCCGGCCAGTCATGGTGGAGTGAAGCATCAGGCATTCTTCGCTGACAAGCCCAAGAAGGCCCAGAGCAGCAGCAGTTGCCCGATCTGCACGAAGATCCATCCCGTTTGGAAATGCCTAGAGTATCGGAAGCTGTCAATTGCAGAGCGTTGGCAGAAGGCCCGGACGCTCAAGCTTTGCTACCGTTGCCTAAACTCTGGTCATTTGGGAAATAACTGTCCCAGGTCGCAGCCCTGTGGTGCAGACGGTTGTACAGAGACCCACAACGCGTTGCTGCACGGAAAGTCTAGTACTACTACAGACTCGAATGGAGCCTCACAGAAGCCAGTGCTCCAGGCTAGCGCCTCCACGGAGGGGGGTGACACCAGTTCCATGGCCACTCATATGAGTAGTGTCGGCGTTAGAGCTGTCGCACTGCGAACCGTTCCCGTCATACTTCGCCACGGCGACAAGAATGTCACGGTCAACGCGCTGCTGGACGACGGCAGCACGCAGTCTTACCTTAATTGCGACGTTGCGGCACAGCTAGAGCTTAGCGCTCCCACACAAGAAGTGTCAGTGAGCACGCTGAACGGCCGCATCGAGACCCTAGAGACTATGCCAGTCGACTGCCACATCGAGAGTCTGGATGGCAGATTTATCACACAGTTCTCTGCTCTGACTGCCAAGAATGTCACCGGTGACCTTACACCTCATAATTGGTCGGTAGATCAGACACGGTATCCGCACCTCAACGGCATCGAGTTTCCGCAATGCCAGAAGAAGCGAGTAGAGGCGCTGATCGGCCTTGACCACGCTAGTCTCCACAGGTGCATGGAGGAAGTCTATGGTGAGGCTCATGAGCCATTCGCACCCAGAACGCCACTCGGGTGGACATGCGTTGGCAGGAGCACCAGACCGCAACAGACGACAAATTTCACCCGCACGTACTTCGGAAAGGACGTCGACCTGAATGCACTGGTGAGAAGGATGTGGGAGGTGGAGGAACTTCCCCAGTCGTACGAATTCTGTGCAGATGATCAAGCCGTTTTTGATCAGACGGTCCAGTCGATGACCTACAAGAACGGAAGATACCAGGTTTCGGAGCCGTGGATCAAGAGACCACCTCCGGACAACTACAGTCGAGAAACTGCAATGAAGCGGCTCATCGCAGCAGAGAGACGCCTGGCGAAGGAGCCAGACGTCGCTAAGGAATACCGAACCGTGATTCGCCGTCACTTAGAACAAGGGTATATCAGCAAGATCAGCAACGCAAGTGATGGCGACGGCTGGTATCTGCCGCACTTTGCTGTTGTACGACCTGGGGCTACATCCACAAAGGTGCGTGTGGTCTTTGATGCAGCAGCAAAGACGAAAGGCAAGTGTCTGAATGACTACATCAGCACTGGGCCCAAACTACAACGGGACCTCACCGACGTTCTCCTGCGGTTTCGGCGACACCCAAACGCACTGGTAGCCGATGTGGCAGAGATGTATCTACAAATCGAGTTGGAAGAGGATGACCGGCAGTTCCATCGATTTCTTTGGCGAGAAGATACGGAGGACCAACCGGCCGTTTACCAGTACAATAGAGTGGTGTTCGGGATCAATGCATCTCCATTCTTAGCTCAACTGGTCTCGCAAGAGCATGCGCGGCGGAACCAGGAGGAGTTTCCTATGGCAGCAGAAACCGTGTTGAAGTCCACGTACATGGACGATTCAATGGACTCGACAAAGTCAACAGAGCTAGCGATTCAGCTGTACCACGAGCTTACGGCGCTGTGGGGTCTCGCTGGAATGCATGTGCGAAAATGGATTTCCAACAATGTTGAGGTGCTCGCCGAAGTCCCCGAGGAGGACCGAGCCAAGGAAGTGGACCTCGCTAATGGAATCCTGCCGACGACCAAGACTATCGGAGTTAAGTGGCGAGCAGAGGAAGACGAGTTCCTGATTCATGTCAAGCCGCCATCAGACATTGTCACCAAGAGAGCGTTCTTGAAGAACCTAGCCACATTGTTCGATCCGATCGGATTCGTACTGCCATTCACCATAGTTGGTCGGATGTTGTTCCAGAAGATGTGGCTAGCAGGTGCTGACTGGACGACTCTCTGCCGCCAGAGCTAGGCGCAGAGGCGCAAAAGTGGTGTGCCGACATGGATGCACTCCAGGATGTCCGAGTTCACCGGTGTCTTCAACGCGATGAGGAGGTGGTGGAGACTCAGCTACATGTATTCTGCGATGCCTCGCAAGATGCATATGGAGCAGTCGCTTATCTCTGTCATGTGTACCAGGATGGTTCGAGGTCCAGTCGATTCGTCATGGCTCGAGCCAAAGTGGCGCCGTTATCAGCTGTTAGCATCCCCCGACTAGAGCTAATGGGAGCAGTCATCGGATGTCGTCTTGGTGTGTCCGTAGCCAAGACACTCGCCATCGCAATGGAGAATGTCGTGTTCTGGAGTGACAGCATGGATGTCCTGTGGTGGATAAGGAACAGCAGCCGGGTCTTCAAGCCATTCGTGGCCAACCGCGTCGGTGAGATCCAGGCTTCTTCCTCGCCTAGTCAGTGGTTCTACGTTCCGACGGCGGTGAATCCAGCTGACATCCTGTCACGAGGAACATCAAGCGCTACTATCGTGATGAATGTGCTGTGGTGGAACGGTCCGTCATATCTCGTTCAGAGCATCGAAGAACGGCCACAGCAGCCCGAGGGATTCAAAGTTCCAGCTGCACCAGAGGTCCGCACGAAGGCCAAACCACCCGAAGAAGGTCAGCAACACCACCAAGTGACATGTGTGTCTTTCCTCTCGACACGCGAGTGGGTTCTGGCGCCTGAACGATTCTCTTCGCTTCAGCGGCTGGTCCGCTTGACGGCGTGGGTGCTGCGCTTTTCCTCAAACTGCCGAATCCCAGCCACGCAGAGACAGTATGGTCAGCTGACGGTCGAGGAAGTCGAAGACAGCCTCCAGGCCATTATTCGGTCAAGCCAGAAGGACGCCTTTGCTGAATATTCGTCACTGCAGAAGGGCAAACCATTACCGGCAACCAGTCCACTGAGCAGCCTGACCCCGTTCTTGGATGAAGTTGGTGTGATGAGAATGACAGGACGGCTCCAAGAGGCACAGTATCTCAGTCAAGACGCCAAGCACCCGATCATCTTGCCGCGGTCTTGCTGGATAACACAGCTAGTGATCAGAGACCAGCATGAGGCAGACCACCACGTCGCAGGTACAGCTCACACTATGGCAGTCCTCATGAGGAAATATTGGATCGTGGCGATTCGAGAAGCCATCCGGGAGTACGAACGTTCCTGTGTGAAGTGTCAATTTCGGAAAGCACAACCAGCCACACAGATCATGGCACCATTGCCCAAGATCCGGTTGAAGGAGCCTCTCCACGCTTTCAGTCGCGTGGCCGTCGACTTTGCTGGACCATTCGCAACGGTACAGGGTCGAGGGCAACGACGAGCTAAGCGGTATTTGTGCGTCTTCACCTGCTGTCTTTGTCGTGCTGTGCATCTGGAAATGGCCACAGGTTTGGATACCGACAGCTTTCTGAACGCCTTTCAACGAATGTGCAACCGCCGAGGTGTTCCTGCTGAAGTGCTCTCGGACAATGGTACGAACTTCGTCGGGGCTAATCGTGAGCTATCGGAGATCTTCACCGAGCAGGAGCAACACGTCCTGGAGCACAGCGCTACCATGAAGAGGATCAAGTGGCATTTCATCCCTGCCCAGACACCACACTTTGGAGGCGTTCACGAAAGTATGGTAAAAGCAGCAAAGAAGGCTATTTACCATGTTCTACAGCAGGCATCAATCACCGATGAGGAGCTGCGAACAGCATTCTGCAGCGCAGAGGCGCTACTCAACTCTCGTGCAATTGTTCCTCCCTCTAGTGACAGCCGCGACGACTTGCCACTCACACCGAATCACTTCCTGGTTGGACGCATTGAGCACTATCATCTTGCCGTCGAGTCACCGTGTCTTCGGCGCCGCTGGCAACACGTCCAAATGCTTGTATCCCATGTCTGGCGAAGGTGGATGCAGGAGTGGATACCAGCCCTGAATCGTCGCTCCAAGTGGTGGAAAGAGTACCCGGATCTCAGTGTCGGTGACATCGTCCTCGTTGTGTCAGCTGATACCCCCCGTGGCAGGTGGCCTCTTGGACGGGTGTTGGAGGTCTACCCTGGTTCTGACGGCAGAGTGCGTGTCGCTAAGCTCCAGGTCGGAGGCAAGCAGGTAACCAGGTCAGTTGTACGGCTATGTCCGGTTGTGAAAGGCAGACAGTCCGTACGCACGTTTTAGATGGACTTATCGCCATCTTTAGTCAGTTCGATCTCTTTTCTCATTTTACTCATTCTTTGATACGTCGTGGCCATGTGTTTTTTATGAAGTATTTACTATTTATGGAAGAGAAAAGGACATATGGATACGAGTTAAGAGTAACTCTCCATCACTGTAACATGATACTATATACAGTCAGAAAGTGCAATAACTAGGCACAAAACTGACTAGTTATTGCACTTTCTGACTGTATATAGTATCATGTTACAGTGATGGAGAGTTACTCTTAACTCGTATCCATATGTCCTTTTCTCTTCCACATTTATTTATGGCTCAACATCCGAGTTTCAAATATTTACTATTTATTCAATATTTCTCTCAGGATGTGAAATATGAAATGTCTCAGAAATTCAGTTTATTTTGGAACGCAATTTCGCGTATATGTAGTGATTTAGCCTACAGTTAGTCTCGAGTTATTTCGTAGGTGTGTTTGTTTCTTGCGTTGCACAGTGCAAGACAAGAATTTGCACAACTGCACAAGAGTATTGACGTTGACTCTCAAAATGATTCTTGGTCGCATTTTGTTTGTTTCTTCTAAGTTTTGACAAAGGGACATGTATTTTCGTTTTGTCTTTTCTCGCAGTGTTTCCTTTCATTTTCTAAGCCGCGACGCCGTCGCGTACTGCGGTACGACGGGTCACGTGCTGCTAACCTACTGCATTCTTTATTCACCAGCTTTCACGGCTACCTGCATGCATTGTATAATGACTCATGATTATTTTTTGCTCTGGGCTGAATCCCGTACTAGTGTAGTGTAGGGCTGTTTCAGGGTTTGTTTTCGATGAGGCTCGGCAAGTAATATAATTATTAGTTCGGTTCTTCGAAAGGAAGAGAAAGAGTTGTCTTTTTGTTGTTTGCGAAATATCTATTTTACTACCACGAAGTGTTCCCGTTGCGTGTGAGAACCTGCATGACAAATTGGGGAGGGATGTAATAAGGATAGAGGTGGAGAAAAACTAAGCCAGCTTATCATCAAACAGGACGTTTGGTACTCTAGGTACTAAGGGTATGCGGGATCATGCTGGCGCGGAACGGGCGGAGCGTGGAGATGGCACGTATATCGCAGGATAAGGTGTTCCACAGCTGGGCGCCCCGGAACGCGAGCCAACCCTTGCCGAACCTGGTGCAAACTGGCGGTTGGCGCAGACCCATGGTGGAGTGCAACCTAGTTGGGCCAGCTGACGAAGGAACTAGGAGGGCTTGCAGGTCAGAACTTGCGTGCCCATTCCGAGTCGTGTCAGGGCAGTCATAAATTTACCACGCTGTATACATGTACTGTCTGTACACAACGTAGACCCGGGTGCTCGAATCAGAAACGATTTGACAGGTGTGAAATTTCTCATCTGTAAATCTCAATTATGTCAGAATATACTTTTGGAGAGGCGATGGAACAGGGAAGAGAGTCTGGCTTGACCCACCCAGCAGGAATTCAGAACCTGGGTGCGCTACAACACAAGCTACAGTACGCAGTAAAATTGTCGTATTTCCTTCGGATTTTTTATTTGAAAATTGGGTGCTCGAATCAGAAACAGCGAACTCGTCAGATCGTCTCCGATTCAAGCACACGGGTCTACCATCGTCTATGCTTGGTGTGGCAGTTGAGGGCAGGGAGTAGTAACTTACTACTTCATTTTTGAGAGCAAGATGGTCAGTGGAGCCGCAGATTCAGCAGGTCTTTGGCAGCACAGTACAGGAGACCCATATCCTCGAATCAAGGACCCAGCAAAAAGTGGGTCGCGAGAATTTCAAAAAGCGTTTACAGGGCAGCGCTGAAATTTGGCATACCGTTAGCAGGCCGTATGTTGATGGTATTTGTGAAAACTAAACGAAATCGGAACAAGTTTAGGTACAATTTCAGGGTGTTTCTGTTTTGGTACCCTGTGTCTCATTCGAGCACCCGGGTCTACGTCGTGTCCACGTCATGCTATTTCCAGTCAAATAACATTGGATACGGAGACCACCTGGTTCCAGAGACCACGTTCTCTTGAGCGGTAGACAGGTTAGACAGGTTTCACTGTACATGTACTGGATCTCAGCTGATACAAAACACTCACCAGCTACTAGCCAAGCTGATACAAAACACTCACCAGCTACTAGCCAAGCTGATACAAAACACTCACCAGCTACTAGCCAAGCTGATACAAAACACTCACCAGGTACTAGCCAAGCTGATACAAAACACTCACCAGCTACTAGCCAAGCTGATACAAAACACTCACCAGCTACTAGCCAAGCTGATACAAAACACTCACCAGCTACTAGCCAAGCTCTCTCTCTCTCTCTCTTTCTCTCTCTCTCTCTCTCTCTCTCTCTCTCTCTCTCTCTCTCTCTCTCTCTCTCTCTCTCTCTCTCTCTCTCTCTCTCTCTCTCTCTCTCTCATTTCTCTATTTCTCTCTCTCTATCTATCTATCTATCTCTCTCTCTGTCTGGCTGGCTGGCTGGCTGGCTGGCTGGCTGGCTGGCTGGCTGTCTGTCTGTCTGTCTGTCTGTCTGTCTGTCTGTCTGTCTGTCTGTCTGTCTGTCTGTCTGTCTGTCTGTCTTTCTCTCCCTGTCTCTCTCTCTGTATCTCTGTATCTCTGTCTCTGTCTCTCTCTCTCTCTCTCTCTCTCTCTCTCTCTCTCTCTCTCTCTCTCTCTCTCTCTCTCTCTCTCTCTCTCTCTCTCTCTCTCTGTCTCTCTCTCTCTCTCTCTCTCTCTCTCTCTCTCTCTCTCTCTCTCTCTCTCTCTCTCTCTCTCTCTCTCTCTCTCTCTCTCTCTCTCTTCTCTCTCTCTCTCTCTCTCTCTCTCTCTCTCTCTCTCTCTCTCCCGTACTGTAGTTTGTGCCGTACCTGGGCCTGTACTACGCGCCACGTGCTTGGCGCTTGTCGCGTAGCGCTGGACCAGGGACGTTACACCTGGAGGCACGACAACGTACTCGGGGTCATCGTCAGGAACATGCGTGAGGAGATTCGAATCCGCACTGCTGCAAACACCGTACAAACCGAAAATTCAAATGAGCTTGACTTCATCTCGTTTTGCAAGGCGGGAGAGAAGCCAGTTCGCGTTCAGCCCAGACGAAAGTTGGTTACGACTGATCTCCTGTCAGCGGCCTCAGACTGGAAACTTCTTGTCGACTCAGTTAGTGCAAAGATTTCTTTCCCTAGCTGTGTTGCACTTACCACCCTAAGACCAGATATAGTTCTGTACTCTACGAGTCGTAGGATTGTATTCTGGATGGAGTTGACAGTTTGTGCTGAGGACAGATTCAGTGTCAGTAACTCGCGGAAGGACAGGCGGTATGCGGATCTGGCCGATCAATGCCGAGCAAACGGGTGGCAGGTCGTTTCTTTTTCGGTTGAGGTGGGTGTGCGTGGTTTCATCCCGGACTCTCTTCGGAGGGCTCTGAAAGCGCTTGGATTTTCTAATCGAAGAATAAAATTTATTTGTAATTTGTGCAGTAAGACGTCTCTGCGAAGCAGCTACATCATCTGGTTGCGGCGTCAACAAAAACACTGGTCGGAAGATCCACTTTTCTGAGGTACTGTATGTGGGGCTCCGTTTATTGAGGTGCGTTGAAATTTATTCTCTTTATCTTATTATTTCTTTTCTATAATTTCCCCATATGAGTTCCTATCAGTTGCTGTGAACACCTTGAGTGGAGAGCGCTTGCTCGAGCGTTGAACCGGGTTCTTAATCCACCATACCCAGTTCGCAAGGCTGGGCGGGGTTGTGAGCAGGCT